CTCACGCCGTGCCGCGCCGGTTCTTTTGCTCGGGTGGCTCGCGTTGCACGCGTTATTTCCGCTCAAGGTTATTTGACTTTTTCGTGCTGAGAATGTGAGAGAGTTATGCGAAGCTGAGAATGTGAGAGAGTATATGCGATGTTAATATAATCTATCTACATCTATACATAAATAAAAGGGAATGTGCGTATGTGTGACGCACACGGGCGCAAAAATTACTCTACCGATTTCGCTGACATTTTAAAACATTGTTCTTATTATTAATGGGAGTGTATAAAGAGTGGTTCGAATTAAATGGGGCATGCGCATCCGGGGTCCATGTTGATGATTTATTCATTTATGACGACGTAAGCGCCCCTGAACTCTACGCAACCCGCTCAACGTCAAGAATTAGGTGCACTTTCACTGCATACACGTATTCTGTCCTTACGATTCTGAAATATCGGCCGAAATTATTATTTGAACATAGGATAAGCAAATAAAATGTCTCCAAGATGGTGTCATAGCAAACGCATGCCCGAATTTGAGGGAGAACTAACAATAGGATACATGACAATCCGGTCCAAACCAGGGCTTACATCAAACTCATACTTGCGAGAAAGTCTTTCATCTATTAGAATTTTTGCACAGCACAGCGTAAAATATAATTAACAATCACGGAACCGGTAGTGTGTAATGTTCATAATACACTGCAATAGCGAAGCATTGCCCGGTCCACTGCTTTATAAATACACGTTTATTATGCTGAATTTGGAACCTTTTGCAACATGCATACATACTTCTTGATAAGTGAATCCAGCCTCGGCGAAGACCAATTTACTCGTTTCAACGTTACCTTATCTCGGAGAAACAAACTTCCTCGCAGATTCTGACCGACAGCGCTCTTTTTCAGACAAGCTTCACGAGACATTCCTTGCGTGCTCGAGACCTAGAACTCCTGCAGGCGCCACGTTTCAACTCTTGTATCAGCTCTCGCAGTCCGCAACCTCCGGCGTCTCCCTTCTTCCCATCACTCCTGCTCGTATTCCTCCCCCGGCCTCCTGGAACCCTCCCGCCCGTGCAAGGGAGCCCGCAGATGCAAGCCCCGCCACCCCCGCCGCCCCTTGCTGCCTCCACCGCGCGGGGGAGGCGTCGCCTTTCAGAAGGCCGCGAGGGGGCGCCACGGCGCGCGCAAAGTAAACAGCGCACGAGGAACGGCCAGCAACGGCAGCAAGATACACGAGGCGAACGCCGAGATAGACATCGAGAGCAAAGGTAGACGCAAAAATTATTTTGCCCTCTCAGACGCGGAAAGGTGACGAGATAGGGCTGGGATCCCGGAAAACCGACAGAGATTCAGGTTCTGATAGAAAACAACAAAGCAAAGACTTCAGAGACGCAAGCAGATAAAGGCGAAATATAGAGAAAAAAATATTTCGAGAAAGCGACCAGAGTAAAGAGTGGAGACTAGAGTAAACATTTCAAAGGATACGAGGAGATAATTCACGGAAGATGTGAAAGAGCATACGGACCGAATAAGAAATACTAAATATATTTTATTTTTCATGTGACTCAGGCTGCCGTGTAAACCGTCGATTTTCAAAATACAACACAAATAAAATAATTTAATTTAAATGTTAAACAAAACTTTTACAAAATATATTAAAATCAAAATGTCAATTGAAATATAAACGAGAAAGTAAGCAAAATCGTAGGCAATAAACAATAAAATTTGATCTGAGGCTGCAAGATATGGTTCATCCATAACATTTATTCCAACGAGGAATATCACTCCAAAGCAGAGGTGAAAAAGAGTATAACTCAACAATTGAGAGAATATAACAATACGAGTAGATATGAGACGAGTCAGAAGTTCGAAAGAACCTTTCCATAAAACAAATATGGCAATAAAGGAGCAGATGGTACAAACACGGAATACAAGATCAAAGAAAACACAACCGAAAAAGCATTTCTGAAAGGCAATGCGGAGATTCCCCGACAACAAAACATCACGCCCTCTTCCTTCTTCATTCCGCTCGTAAGCCGATTACGCGACGCTAACAGTAAATCCGCATAACTGAAGACGGCGCGAGCAGCGGCAGCACAAATCGCCTCCCGCCCACCGGGGCGTCGAAGGCGGTGGGGGAGGCGGATCGCCCACATCAATCTCGGAGTTTGGGCGGCTGGAGGCGTCGCGACGCCGGCGGACGCCCGCCGCATGCCAAGGGGCGCCCGCCGCGACGCGGGAGCGCCGGCGCTCGTGAAGAACGACGCCCGCGACGCGCAGGCGTCGGTCGACACGCGCGGGCCGCCGCGAACACCAGGGCTGAGGAGGATGCGGAGACTGGGAGACGGGGCGGAGGCAGAGGCGCGGGTGGAGGCGAGGGTGGAGGCGGCGTTGAAGGTGGTGGTGGAAGGGCAAACCCGAGGCAGGGGAAGAGGACGAGCAGAGGGAAACAGATGTAGACTAGGGCGGAGGAACGCGTAGAAGTCGGGGGCGGTGGCGACTTTACGGGCACCTCAACTGTTCTGCTCATTAATTTCATTAGTGTAGTCAATGTTTTATCCCGCGGGGTGGCGGTGATTCCTTCCCCGCTGATTTGTGAGATTCAGCGACAATCTACACGTCGACTTGTAGATTTCCTCCTCCAGGTATCTCCTTCGAGCAGGGCAGCGTGCTCGCAGTTAAGTTTCCGCAGATATCTTGAAAGTGTTTCTCATTTGCGTGTGTGTATGGGGGGAGGAAAAAACAAGGAAGAGAAGGGAAGATGGCGTGCGATTCATGGCCCTTTTATTAAGATTCTGTGCCGACATTCGCGGGTGTTATTGATCGGAGAAACCACGGAAAACTAACGATGAGAGCGGCCGCTAGAACTCTCCTCCAGGCAGTGCCTGAATTGGTCCTAGCTATATAGGTAGTTTCGAAATCCGTCACAGTCAAACCATAACGATTCCCGATCTCAGTCGCTGCAAGTCAGCAGCAATGCTGGTTGTGAGCTAAACCCATCTGGTATGACGACGTGGTATGAAACTGCCTTTAGTGGTATTGTTGCAGAAGCCTGGTCATCTTTCGTCACTCGGCAAGGCCAGTACGATGGCAACGACACTTGAAGTAGAGGCGATTTAGTTGGTAGCACTGGAATCATCACATCAAGTGATGAGCCCGATACTGCTGAGGTGCGAACATTGATTTGCCGACGAGGATGCCATCGAAATGACGGCGGCCGATGGCGATCTACGTCATCCCAAGGGCGGCGAAGCGTGACGAGCAGGAGACTGCAGAGGTGGCGGCGGCGGCGGCGGTGGCGGCGGCGAGCCGACACGCGGCTCATGGTAACGCGCGCATCCATATTCATACGCTAACTGTCCGCGGACAATGGGCGGGCGCGCGGCGTGCCGCGCCTTCTTTTATTTACGCGCGAGGTGACGTGTGAATGCGACCGCGGCAGGCAGGCGGGTGGGTGGGTGGCGGCAATTCTATCGGCGCCCAACGGCCTTGGCGCGACTCCCGGT